GCTCCTACCCCAGGAAAAAAGCCTCTGCCTTGCTCAGCAGCTATTTCTGGAGGCTGTGCCATGCCATACTTGAGCCAGGTAAAAATCTAGAGCCTCACTGAAGCCATCAGCCACTGATGCATCAGGTGTGCCCTTGGTGTTAATGGGGAAAGCCTCACCATCTTGGGTTGTTTCTGGTGTGGGGAAAGGGAGAGGGTATAAACAAAACCTTTTTCTAGTTTATCTTTAAAGCAGATCCCCCTCTAGATTTATACCAAAAGAGACTACAGACTCCTAATGAAACAAAACTTTTAGCTACAGGCATAAGTAAGGCATCTAAACCTCAGACAGACTGTTGCTCTTACAGGGCAACAAGCCAATGGAGCTCTGTTCTGGTACCAAAGGGCAGTGACGTGAGGCTTTGCCACCACGCTCGAATCAGCCGGAGCGCTGGGCTATCAGAGAGTTTGTGTGCCAGGAGGAGAAACGGCATCAGTAAGGATCCTGCACGGCGCTCAGCCCACACCACTTCTGCACCGTTACTTCTCTTCTTCAAACCCAGAGCCGTGTGAGGTGCTGACAGCACACGCTGCTGGTGGTTCTGCATCGTTCTCATTGCTTCCTGAGCTAACTGCTCCTACAGGTCACACATTTAGACCAGTCCCTGCTTGCCAAGAGTGCTACAGGTCTCACCTTTCCCTAATCAGAGAAAAAAAAGGTTGAATTAATGCCGCTGGCTGTACTGCCCAAGAGAGACAAAAGCACACACGCCAAAAAAAAAAAAAAGATGGTTCTGACTTTGAGCATGGAATATTTAGTCTTGATCGTCTCATCACAGATACACAAAACACACAGCAGCTGCTTCAGCTAAAGACATCCTCACACTCTCTTCCGCGAAGGGCAGCTGCGATTCGCTTCACAATCACACCAAAGGTCACCACAACCGCCACACAGCAGCCAGAAGCTGCTGACACGCAGCCTGAGACCGAGACACCGACCTTGTCTCTGAGTGTCCTGGGACCAATCCAGCTCCCTCGACCGCCCTGCGTTAGTGATAAGAAATGAGAGAGTAAGTTGTTTTCTGGTTCCCCAGCACATTGCTCTGGCAGCGTTCAGAAAAGCGTGCCTCACTTCTGATGTACCACAAACTTAAGAGACAAGAAAGTACGATGAGGTCTCGTGTTAACTTTGTACTCAGTGTGGCATTAACCACTAAAAGAGTGGGTTTGGGTGTTTTTTCTTGTTCATTTTACTGCTTAAACAAAGCCTGTTGCAGGTGCACGATTTGACAGTGCAGTCCTGACAGTGGGACAGCAGGAGAGCGGGACACGGCTGGTGACACCTCTGTCGGCCGATGAGGCAGCGCTGCGAGCGGGGCCCCAGCCTGTGCATCCCTGGGGGAGCAGGACCCCACCGCACGCAGACCGGCTGCAAGGACCCAGAATTCTGCTTACAGACCCCGATTGAAGCCAGGTCAATTATCTGCAGGATTGTAACGTTTAAGAATACACATAGCTGGTATTTTAAAACACTTATGCTGGCAATGTCTTGTTGAACCAGCTGACACTGCTGCGAGCACTAAAACCAACCAGACAACCCAAACAAACAACATAAATGCAGCCCCAAGAGTTTAGCCCTTAGTGAAGTCTGTTTGCCCAAAGAGTTCCTGCCACTGCCACAGGGGCTGTTTGTACCAAGGTTAATTACCGACTTACATACAAAAGGTGAAAGCTGTACTCTTATCACCGATACTTAAGTGCTTCAGAAGAAAAAGCACACCCATTCCAGAGTTAATAATTAAAAGCCATTTGGACTCAGGGTATCAAGGAAAGCTCTCTATGTTCTATCAACACACAAGTTCAGTGGGTTCACAAGCAGAAGCTGAGGTCGAGCTCCTCAAGGCACAGCTCTGCCCGCGGAGCCGCATCCACCAGCGTCTGACAACACCTCTCGACCAGGACCCTCTGTCAGACCACGCTGCTCGCACCATCACCAGATGCTCACAGCTCATGACTCCCACAGCTGAGCGAGCACCACTGCTCCCCTCAGCACCACTGCTC